GGAGAAGGCTTGCCAGGCGAAATCTCACCACATTCTGGAACACTGCCGCCGAACCATATGCTGGAACGGGATTTACCCGAACCACCCAGCTGGAACCAACAGGAGGTTGTTCGGCTAGCCAGCACCACGCTCTTGTCTCTAAGCAGGCGTCAGCAATCCACCTATACGGCTAATGATTCTATAGGATATCCAAAAGACGCTTCCGACATACTTATTGTTGCATAGTGTACATGCTTTTGTCTCAAGGCCAAATGTTGTAACATAAGATATTGTTAAATGTTTAACTCCATGCCTGTTTTTGCAGTCTTCTCTCGGTTATCCCTCATTTTCCCTTTTCTCCGAGGTCCGGAACTTTTTGGAGATCTGGAATTGGACTGAGGAACAATTTTCGCCCAAGACGGACGTAACCACCGACAAGGACTAACCTGGAGCATGGTTGAACACCGAAAGGACCCAACTACAATCACCAAATTCCTTGTCAAGTATGGTGAACTGGACACATCTTCATATTTCCATACATTATACATCTGAATAATCCAGACAGCAGAAAATTTGATCTTTTGCTCACCTGGACACACAACGAGACGACTATTGGCGATGCTCCCCTCCTCAACCGGCCTCAACAATCATGGCGGCCCCGATCATATTACCTGTCCAACTAACAGAGGAAATTAGGAGCCATTAGCCTGCGAATAACCGAATATGAAATCAGTCGTCAAACGGCTTTGCCAGTCATACATTAATGTTCAAACTGCATTACGGCAGTGTTGCAGGACGTGGTGAGTGTTCGCCTGGCAAGCGTTCTCCTTATAAAAGCCACTAATGTCTGCTTAACAATACTGCAACGTGGCGGATGTGAGTCGCCACTGAATAAAGTCACTGCCTACAAGTACATATTGGCAAATAGACCAGACTCATTTCTCAAATCTTCTTGACACATGCAAGAATGTGTTAAGCTCCGTCCACAAGCACTGTTATATTGCACTTATAGTGCCTTGACCGTTTCAACTACAAACGATTGAACCCCAAGTATCGTCGTGATACACAACTGCCTGTAAACCTTGATCACGCCTGATTTGGTGTGTCACAATGAATTTGTGAACAAACTATTTGTTTATATGAACAATTTGCTACTGTCACTGTTACAGTTGCCATAAAATGTCTGTACAGTTGCACAAACCTGATCATGCCTCCATAGGCGTGCCTCGCATAGTCAGGAATATAATGTTTATTTATTTATTTATTTACATATGACAGACCCCAGTGACTCGCAGAAGAAGAGTCAGTATCGCAAACGGCGACGGCAACTGACCCGGGAGTTTCGTCGCATTAAGAATGCATGGAGGACGGAGAAGGCGAAGCAGTTGGAATGCTGCGCCTAATGCCGTTATCACAAGGAATGCTTTGACTCTTTGAAGGCAGTGAATGGACCGGGTTTGGAGCCGCTGAGGACGCTGATCGACGCTAGTTCAGGCGCTACCTGCACACGGACTGCAGACATAATGCAGACATAAGGCTGGCTGGCCGAACAGGCTGGCTGGCCGAACAACCTCCTCGTGGTGCCAGCAGGGTGGATTGGGTTTACCCCTTCCAGCAAATAGTTCGGCGGCAGTGTTCCAGGACGTGGTGGGTTTCCGCCTGGCAAGCGTTCTCCCTATAAAAAGCCACAAATGTCCGCTTAACAACACTGTGACGTGGCGGTTGTGACTCGCCACCAAATAAAGTCACCCATTGCTTATCCGGACGACCGCTTCAAGTCCACAGCCATCAAGCACCCATTTAACACTGGCCACACGTTCAAGCACGATCAAAAAGACTGGAATACATTTACTAATTCCATAAACACGGCTAAACGCCCACATACACACTTACATACATTTATATATCAACCTATGCGACAATCCCATTGATCCATTGTACATTGACTGATCACAGTTTGAACTCTTAAAATGATCATGTCTGTGCAGACGTGCCTCGCTTAGTCGAGAATAAACATTTTATTTATTTATTTATTTATATCTGGCGGAAACACAACGACTGTCTCATGAACAGCTGCTCAGACGTCAACTGGTCTACATAAAAGGCCTGGAACACTAACGTGTAACATCAGTAAAGGTACAAGAATGTCACAAGTTAACCACTACGTGCTGGATAAAGGGTGTATGTATAAATCATCAGCTTGTGCGAATTTGTTCCTATTACGGTGAATTTATGAGTATTTTCGGTGAATTTGGCAATATAAAAGGGGATCAGGTGCAATCTTTGAAGCGGTTACCTTAGGCGAAATGGGTAGGTTCCTCCGGTTATGCAATGACTTTATTTAGTGGTGAGGCATATCCGCCAAGCCACAATGTTCTTTAGCAGGCATTGGTAGCTTTTTATAGGCCGAGCACTTGCTAGGTGGTAATCAACCATGTTCTGAAACACTGCCGCCGAACTAGTAGCTGGAGCGGGATTAACCCGAAGCACCCAGCTAGCACCACGTGGAGGTTGTTCGGCTAGCTAGCCAATCTGTTCGCGATCGTATTATTTCGGGTAACTAGACTAATAAGTCATGCCATCTTTTAGGTGAGCTTTCCGCCCGGGGTGAGTAAGTGTAGACTTCCAAAATCCGTATAGGACACATAGTAGACAAGCAAAGCGACTAAGGACGGTTAGCTTAGTTCAATCAACCCTAAATTGTAGGTGTCGGAAAGGTTTTGGTTGAAATGCAGACAAGAATTAAGATCCATACTCAATATAAGAAGGTTCAAATGATTGCACCGTATTGGAATTAAAGCTGGTGTAAGAACGTTGTCTGATTATTATACTGCTTGCATATCTTGTCGCTTGGTTAATTCACCTAGAGCCCACGTCGAAATCGTAAGTTAGAGAGTCGTTCAACTTAAGGATTATATACTATAGTGCAAATTATTTCCAAGATTTCCGAGTGCCATCTTCACAGCCGGATCCGGTTACATGATTTGAATAGATGTGAACGACCACTAGTGATTGAAAACCGCTTAGGCAACCTACACGCCATCGACTGTCGCACGGTACAACGAAAGCAGACTTCGGATGACCAACCGTTACCACTGCACGCTTATCACCTACGCGTGAGTGCAGGATGGGCCGCGCTACCTCACCATTAGTAAGTAGTCATAACCGCCCCACTCCACTGCGCATTGCTTGGTGACATGTATCGCTGGATAGCAACAGTAAAATCATATATGCGGACCCAGCAGATCTCACTCACTGGGAAGTCCGTTGGGGTTAGTAACCCTTTTCCTGGATGCATAGTGTGGCCAGCTACCCATATATTTCTCGCAAGCGATAACACGTACGCAGCGCGCCAAGCGAGAAAATAGTGAGTACGATAGGTGCGCTTGAACACAGTGTGTATTTTCTAGGCTGCAAGGACTGGATAGCAGGTCTGCAAGAGCGGCTTAAGCGTGCGACACACAGGATAAGAGCAAGTGAACTAGAAGCTGGATCAGTTTGCCACAGCGAATGTGCCTAGCCATAGTGATACCCTAGATTCTGGTTGCCCTAACCTCTCAAAACATAGCACATGCAGACGCATTCTCGCTCTTTCGCAACCCTCTCATTCGCTTTGGAGCGGTCTGGCCAAAAAATACGATTCATGTCTTGACTTTCATACCAATTTTAAAGGTCAGTTCGCTAAAAATGGTACGCCACATATTCCAAGCTTTCTCATCACACCTAAGTCGTTCCATATGGATGTATCTATCCATCGCTGCACACAACTGGCTACTTACTCTCCTCGCTCTTTAATTGATAAAGGTAAACGCACCGACGCGGTGCTTCACTGCCGACTACCAACCACCGCCCATATGTAGCAGTCTCGTGCGTTATGGACCATAGAGTATTTCACCACCATGTAGCATCGATTTCTCACTAATTTCTAGTGGTTTCAGTTTTCAATCATTAGTAGTACCTAGGCATCGTCCCTAGGAGTCCCGCTCTGTGAGTAGTATGCTCATATCCGCCGAAAGCTTTGCCGGACTTTATCAACTGGATATTCTTACGTCTATATTCCGTTACTGCAACTAGCACTAAGTTTACAGAATATGGTCAAACAATTAGCATCAGCCTGGTTATCCGTGATTTGGCTCCCTTGCTCAACGGTAGCCTCAATCAACCTTACTTGCAAATCCGGCCGCCGTCGTCGCTTCTACCTTCTTTCTACTCTTAATCATTGAAGAATTTAAAACTTGTATTCCTTGAGATTCATCCTAATGATATTATAAAGGTATACCATAAGTGGGCTTCACGCCTCCAAAACACCTGTACGATTCTAACATCACCACCTCACAGTCACTACAGTTATCTCCGCGAACAGCTACCATAGTTCTTCGCCCTCTAGCGCCTCATTCGGCACTCAACGATACATCTCATAGTTGGTTTCATGCACCTTAAATATCAACTTGCAGCAGGACATGCTCGCTTGCTCAATAGGCAGTATTAAAATCTTAGGACAATTTACAGCTACGTATAATGAGCCTTATGTTACTAGACCTGTATCTGCGGCTTAATCACTGTGATACCTCCGCGTATCATAACGCCCAATTACTGCAACAAACTGAACATCCCAGAACATAAAAAATTGTAGCACAATGACATACTGTCACACGAAAGCAGTCCACAGGACCTGTAGTGGGTCAGGAATATGTACATAAAACGAAATATTAACTGAAATAAGCTGAAAATGATAAATAATATCGAGATCACTGGAAGGAAAGTTTCGACGATTGCTGTAATTTCGGCACAACTTAATCCATATTAATAGCTTTTTAAGGATCATTTGTTCAAAGGAAACATGATGCGTGTCTATCCTCTCGCTTACTATTTAGGTGTGTCGATTTCCTATCACACGTTAATAACAAAGCCTAGGGAAAAAGAGTACATCAACTTAAAGCTTTGTTGACGCCATATAGATGTATATACAATGATTGTTTTAAAAGACATAGCTTCATAAGGTATAACGCATGAGTGATTAGTAAATGCACAGTGTGTTTAAATTAGGAAACACTCATGATATATGGTTGTCATGGTAGTTTAGCTTGAGAGCGAGTATAACTTATATAACCATGTATAAATTGGACCTACCTATTGACTGCAAAGAAGCTGCAATTATTGAATCTAGAAGAAAAAGAGAACAGGAACGACAGGCACGTATTTTTAATACAAAAACCCGACTTATTGGAGTGCGTTTAATAATGATATTCGTGGTGATAACACACTAAGATAGACGAACAAGCTATCAATGAGCAAGTGAGAGATAAAAAGCTGAGGGATCAGCAAGAAAAGCTTAGAAATGATGCATATGGTAAATTTTAATCAAACTTTATTTGCGTTGTTTTAAAGCTGCAGATGCAGTCCGAAATGATAAGATTGCTTGCATATTAGAGAAGCGGCAAGAAAAAGACAAATATGAAATAAATCGAAGTCTAAACGACTTTCGATCACTTCATCAACAGCCTGAATCTCGCCGGGAGTTTGACCTTTATGACCCAGATGCGCTCAAAAAGGATCGCCCTGCGCGCATAAGTGATGATGATCCTAGATGTGGCGTATCATCAATGCAAATGTTTGATGGTGAGGACCTTAACGGAAAAGCCAGAAACCAATATCAGAGAGAACAGATGCAAGACTGGTTTGAGCGGCAGATAGAAGAACGGAAACTTGCTGAGGCTGCAAAAGATGAAGCTGAACGGTAAGAAAAACAAAAGACAACCTTTTATTAGATGGCCCACTAAAACTTTATTTTTATTGTCAGCCAAGCATATTGTCATAACCTTTTGTCAGTTTCGGTGTTTTGTGCCAAAGATAACGAGTGAAACGTCTTGATATACTCTTAAATTACTCGTTGTCTTTCAATTTAGACACCCATAAGACAACCTTCAAACACTCAAAACGGTTTATCCAGCTCGATCCTAACATAACTCGCAATGGCAGTTTTCTGCTTGCAAATGTCAATTTGAAAACATGTGGTAAAAGCTGCACAGTTGTTTTCAATGATTCCTCATCAAACCTGTACATCACCATCATCATCATTACACGTTAGCTGGAGGTGTAAAACACATCAGCTATTGTGCCGCAATACAAAAGAAAAGAAAAGCAAAACAGTGGCACGCCCGCTGAGTCCCCAGTAACGGATGGACATCGTTCCGGAGAGCTAACAGCTGGCTGCCGTAAAAGAGAATCGTATTATACCTAACAGGTGGGATCGTGATTGGAGGGGAAACTAAACAGGAGGGGGATGGACCTGTACAATCACACAGCGAAAGTAGCAATGGGGGTACACTTAAACAGATCAATTTAAAGCAGACAAGGAATGTGCCCACCAGGTTCGCGAATCGAGGGGCAATCTAGTTTAAGGCAATGAAGTTTCCCCTCCAGTGCAACTGGCTTCGGCATCCTCTAGCTTCGTTGACCAAGACAGCTGCAGAGTCTGGATTGGTTTCTCTTGAAAACATAACGGAGGTTGAAGCAACCGAACATCGATTGTCCCAGCTGTTGCAAGCACATGAAGGCGTAAGCCTCTCGATTGCAACGTGGGAATCCTGTGGACTACCCGAGAGGCACGGTTCATTTCTATTTGATGCCCAGTGTCGACAAGGGTAACCAAAATGGTACTATCAATAGCTCGGTGCAACCTTGACGTAGCCAGCGGAGTGATGCTCACTGAAGCGCTTTGATAGGTGCAGCATACTTTGATAGATATAGATTTCGCCAAAAGATCAGTGAAATTCCTTTTATTCACAAGCTTGCCTTTCGAAGGAGATACGGCTGTAGAACCATAATCTAGATGCCGGTCGTCTGCAGTTAAACCTATGTTATGGCGACCCTAAAATGCACGTTATCTACAAAACCGCTTATCCTTGCGCAAAACACACACTAGTTGCTAACGTTGACTGCTTCATTGGTCATTTATTAAGCTGAGTAAGCTTGTGTTGAAATTAAATCATTTTAAGGGAGCTGCACTTGTCAAAGTGCGCCAATGAGCTTCACTCACGCTGGTTACATCAAGGTGGCACTGGGCCATTGCAAGCTTTATTTTGGTTCCCCTTGTCGACACTCGGCATTGAAAAGAAGTGAACCTTGCTTTTGGGTAGTCCACAGGTTCCTTACGTTGTAATCGAGAGGCATTCGCGTGCTTGCAACAGCTGAGACAATTGATGTTCGGTTGCTTCAACCTCCCTTATGTTCCCAAGAGAAACCAATCCAGACTCTGCAGTTGTCTTGGTCAACGAAGCTTGAAGACGTCGAAGCCAGTTGCACTAGAGGGAAAACGCAATCGCCCTAGCCTAGACTGCCTGATGATTCACGAACCTGGTGGGCACATTCCTTTCTGCTTTAAATTAATCTGATTAACTTTACCCCCACTGCTATTTTCGGTGGGAGATTGTGCAAGGCTGATGAGGAATCACAGAAAATAACTGTTTATGTCTGACCCTATGTTCTTGCTACGTGAATGGCGATTTTTATTTTGTTGAAATCAACCCACAACTCGTACAGTGGCTAACTATAACATGTTTTGCCCCACCGAACTTGGTCCCAATTATTTTGTTCTGAAATGCCTGATTAACATAACTTCACTCTGTGGCAGAAAATTGGCTGTTTGTATTGATTGGATGTAGTATTTTTTAAACAGTAAAGACCATTTTTTAAGACCGGTTGTATTAATTAAGCATTATGATATTTTATCATATGTTGTCAAGTTACGTCGTCCTTTGTTGGTTTATTTTCTCATTGCGAGTGACCTAAAACACGGCTAAATGGATGGCTTGATGCTCAGCCGTACATACGGTGCAGGTGAATTGCCAGCAGTCTTAGATTAGCGTGTTTTCAGTCACACGCATAAATAGAAACATAAATACGCAGTAGCATAATGTATCAACTATGACCCTATACTTTATAATACATCATTGACGACGTCGGTATTAACACTTTTGCTGTTAATTGTTAATAAGACCGTACATAAACGTAGTAGAAACAACTGTTGGTCTGCTGCTGAAAGATCAATTTATATGTCCGCGTCAGTCTAAATGTGGACTATCTTTGGCGAATTCTAGTCATTTAAAACTTTAGATATAGTATTAATTTTCAGTAATGCGTTATGGCGTTGTAAGAATCGATTTTCAATTAACGCTGAAGGCAGCTGTTACCCTAATGAGTGCACTTACTGTATACGCTAAGAAAACGTTTTTTTCTCAGAAGGGCTGGGATTCACCCTAAAGTGCCCAGTGATGGCAGATAGTGGTGCGTTATCAGGCATTAAGCGCATACTAAATTTCCATTTGCATACAGTATTCGGTTTCTTATACTAGGCTGCCAGTTCTGATAGCTAGTCCACATACGCCAGGGTTTGTGAATAACTCTATGTACGACTGCAAAAATTTGCGTAGTTCGTGTCACGAAAGCGCATTTTAACTTGGACGTAACCATAATATTGAGACATTGATTTACATACCTATGTTTTAGACCGCTTTGCATTTCCTTGTTGGTTATTGGTACGGAAAAGGTAGTATAAGCCTAGTTTGATGCGTCATTTTCACCTTTATCTTTTATTGGTGTAACCCGTTTTTGGAAATCCAGTGCAGCTGAACTATGAATGCATGTTAAACTCTCTGATAGCAAAGTAATAAGCTGGTTCACTTTTTATTTTTTATAAGGTTTGTGGAATACAATTACGCTAGGTTGTCGAACAAAAATCCCGCAAATACAAACATAAACTGCTAATGCATCTCATCTCTGGCATGTGCTTTAACTTTTTCAAACCATAGAACAACAAAAGCTTTCCTGTCTCAGCACCAAAGTTAGAGAATGCGACTTCAGTACTTACTCATTGAGAGTGCTGACAGAGCGAAATTTGTGCAGTTATCTGTAAGACAATAAGGCTTCGCCAGACAATCAGCAATTTGTAAATAATTTAAAATTCCGCAAACGTTTGGACTCATAGTTTTATTGCACTGACATGTCGAATCAAATATAAAGAGGGGTGACTCAGTGTACATGTATCTAACGTGCAAGTAAACAACGTATCTTAGCTGGATGTTTATCTACATAGGAATACTAATAAGCATTTGCTTTTAACTGTCAGCTAAAGCTTATCTTTTTATTAACAGAATAACACAAAATCCTAGCAATATTTCATAGGCATAGAAAGAAACCTTTGAACTTTGTGCGACCAATTTTCCAATCCATTTTGTTGTGTAAGCAGGGTGTATTATAGAATCAGCCTTACGGAGAGACATCGCACATCACTCTGAAGGTTGCGTTGATAGGAAACCCCGTACACTTGCGATAAGACTAACACAAGACGATGGTTGCGGTCTATGTAGCAGCTCCGTTCACAGCCGTCTACTTGCAGCTAAATAAAGAAGTCGTTAAAGTCTTTCCAATGGTCAGCAGAAGTCGATTTTACTACTACTACTGCTATTACTACTACTTCTACTACTACTACTACTACTACTACTACTACTACTACTACTACTACTACTACCTACTACTACTACTACTACTACTACACTACTACGGCTACTTGACTTCACTACCACTTCACACCTAGCTTACGACTTGTTTTTATTTCATTTGAGTGGACACTTTGTGCACTAAAATTAAATAGCTAAAAACCTTGACCCAAAGCGGCCATTGTCAAGGAAAAACTAAGTCCGATTAGCAGTACTGTTGCGTTGGCGATGCAGTATTAATACTAAAGGGCATTAAAGTAACGTCCGTGCCACAGATACTCAATGGCACCATGGATAAAACGCATTTTGGCATTAATTAAACCTACTGACAAAAGTGCACTTCCTTTGTTAAGTTTGAAAACACAATGAAGGACAAAATAATAAAATGGTTTTACATGGAAAATAAACATAAGGTCCAAAGTTTTAACTTCAGCAATAATCATCCCAAGTCCTCATTTTTGTTAATCGTAACGTGTAAACATTACCAGTGTGTTGTATAATTTTGATTTTCTTCAGTACGACTCTAGGTTGCATAAGGTTTTGGGAAGCCGTCGTGCTACTAATGATCAAAAAAGCAGTAATCAACTCCCGAGTACAGAGGTTGTAGCCTAAACAGCCGAACAGTTTTCCACGGTGAGAGTAAATCTTAACGTAATGCACTCGTTTATGCGCCGCATTTGTCCGATTAGCTTTGACCAATTTCTTCTTTTTAATGCATACAGAATATGATTAAACGAAACAAATCACCCTTAATGTTCGCTATATTAAAAGCTGGACCATGTCTTTCAAAAACAGGCTGCGGAAGACAACAATTATGTGTGGCAAGTTCGGCGTCATTAGTACATAACAACAGCGCCATGAGCAAACTATGTTATTGGTTGGACGTCCTTCACTTAAAGCCAAACCCTCGATGGCGCAGTTTTGGCAGCTTAGGGCGGAGTTCCTGAAGATTCATGTAGCAGCGTTGCATTTGTAGACGTGTCAGTAGCTCAGAGCGCCATGTTAGACAGTCACCGTTAGTGCTGCTCTGCTGAGAGTTCCTGATACAGCTATTTTCACCGTTGGTTAATCTAGGGTCTGAACAACAGTGTGGCTCATTTGTACCTGGGGCCTGTACTTTTTGAAAGAGTAGTCTCTAGCGTAAAACCTGTGGCTTACATTGTTTAATGCTGTACTGCGACTCCAGCGCAGCCAAGGTAATTCTCAAAATGTTCTGCCCCTTGTTATGATAGTTTAGAGA